GCTACTGATTTGGGAATGATGTCATGCTCTATAGTCCAATCAAAAAAGAGAGTAAATGAAGCAAAGTTAAAAGCCTGGCAGTGTTTACATTTGCCATCCTGAGAAAATATTACCCAAAACAGAAGAAAAAGGAAAGAACATATTTAACGATGAATTTTGAAAATTATTAGATAATATTTTTCATTTGCATTTTATAGTTTCTTTTTTTTTAACAGGTTTCAAATAATTTGGACAAACTGTTTGAGTGATTTTCAAATATTTGCCTATGGTGCAGGGAATTGATACAGTACTTGTTATTTTTTTTCTGACCAAAGTGCTTTGTATTTCTGTCTCTGTTACCCTGCTCTCTTACGTCTTCAGCTCCTTGGGGAAATAACTCAGTGCTACAGGTTTTGATGGAATTCATTGATTCAACACAGTAAACCATCTTTCCCCTCAAAGGTGCTCATTATATTTGCCCCGACCATAAGCACCCCCTCAGAGCCATGCTGGTGGGGAGTGTTCATTTTGTTGGTAGTGATGCGTCTGTCACACCTGCATTTCATCGTCATTTTTGAATTGGCGAAGTGCAGCTCTACCAAAGGAGCCTGCATTGCTTGGGAACTTGCGCCCTCTCTCGGTCCAGCTTGGGGCTCACAGTAGCTCACTTTTGAAAAGGGCAAATGCCTCGTTTAAAGGGCACATGCACCCAGCAAACCTGACACGCCAGACTCCCACCCACTGTGTGCAGAAATTCACAAGTGCAGATTTGGTGCACGGAGCCGCGAGGCCACACCGCACTCGGTGCAGATCTCCACACCAGACAGATGCCGAGATGTAAACTTTCTTGACGTGCATGCGTCCTTGCAGGATTCAGGAGCCATCTTCCTCCTGCACGAGACCGACCCCATCTTCACGGAGCTGGAGTCCCACCAGGTGGCCCTGCAGAGCATGCAGGGCAGCAGCGCGGCAGGATCCTTCCTGGACGAGGTCACCAAGTGGCAGAAGAGACTGCAGACCATCGAGGCCGTGCTGTCCACCTGGCTGGAGGTGCAGGAGAAGTGGGTGGAGCTGGAGGAGGTAGGCGGGAAGGGGACAGATGGGGTGATGCGTAGGTTGACAAATAGATAGTAAAGCATGGTAAGAGGCGATCGGGAGAACTGGGAGAGACTGGTCTGAGCAGGGTGCATAGGGTGACACATGACCTGACACATATGATGACGCATCGGTAGGGGAACATGTTGATAGGCAAGTTGACATAAGATGCTACCACACAGAAGCTCTGCTGTCAATATGGCCCACAGTATGGGTGGAACTAGGAGAGATACATGCACCGGTAGGTCTGAACAGGACAAACGGGGTGCAAACAGCCTGACACACATAGTGAGACAGGGGATGAATGAGCACCCAGATTGATGTACACCAGATGCCACAGGACTGAATCTATGTTGCAAACAGGGGCTGAAAGTGCAGGAGAAATTTGTGAAGTTACTGTAGGTTTGAGCGAGATAGAGGGTGACAAATACCCTGAGAAAAGGTTGACAGCTGGGTTGACCGGCCTACTGATCGATTCATAATAAAAAACAAATGGAAGAAAACTGAGACAGGAACTTGAATCTCAGGCCTGTAGCACAAACAATGCAGAAAAGAGACGGTCATGCTTTGGGAAGAAAAAAAACAGAGAAAGTACTGTTTGTTTTAAACTTCATATTGATCCTGCCGAGACTTTCTCTCAACAGATCTTCAGTGGGACGGATGTCAAGGCATCCCTGAGCCATGAGGCAGGACTCTTCAGCTCAGCTAACAGGGACTTCCGTCTCCTGATGAGAGCTACGGAGAAGAACCCCAACGTCCTGCAATGCTGCCAGAGAAGAGGTCCGTAGGTCCAACAAACCTGTATTAAGATATTAGTTCAGGGTTTTTGATGCAGGCAGGTTAGCCTTTAGTCAAGGAGATTGTGGCAGTAATACTCGATCTTGAAGCAGAGTCCATCACAAGTCCTTTCACAAGGCAGAAGTCCATTCATAAGAAACAGGGTGAACAATGACGTAGAAATGTTTTTTTGACTCAAATCATTTCTTGATACCTTGTGATGGACTTTTAGGGCCTTTTGATGGAGTCTACTTCAACACTGCTAATGTTAGTCCACACGTGTGGCATATTCAATAAAGAGTGCTTTTCCCAGTCTGCCACTGCGATGCCCTAACCGATCCTTTTGGCATGGTCTCATTCTGAATAGCTCGGTAGTTAGAATGATTTGTAACTAGGGAAAATAATTCATAGGATGTGCAAGTGTCTTTCAACCAACTGTCATTTCAGGATTCCACTTACACATGTCACAGGTCCAGACCACTCCCTTTGAGGATTTCCACCATCTGATTTTGTAAAATGTGATGACTGTTACCAAAATTGTCAGCAAAATTATAGAAAACATGAAAATCCCCATGAACAAATTGTTGAGGGTGGCCATTGCAGGTGGTAATAATAAGATAGCTCCTAATCTTTCTTTAATCCCTTCGAGTCGGGAAGCGGCTATAGCCGGCGTAAAAATTGAGATCCTAAGCCCGCTTTTCAGCTATTATTCTCGGCCCACGCTCGAGCGAACACGGTGAAAGAAGGCGGACTCTGGCTCTTGTGTATATGGTAATTGGTCTTTGTGCGTAGCCCAGAAATGAAAAGACCGATTTTGCATTTTAATCACCAGCTTCACAATAGTCCCCACTTTGAAAAGAGGCAGCGGGAATGTGGAAGGGTGAGTACAGCCGCATGCCACTGAACAATCAGCCTTTTCACCGTGTAATTCAAAGCATGCAGAGCATGCTGGGCCACAAACCGAGAATTTGCGGTTTGGCAGGTGGCCTTTGTGGCCAAGCGAGGCTGGAATTCTTGGAGTCGGCTTTCTGGAAGAAATTCCCGTCGTCAAGGGGTTAAATGCTGTATGTGTGCAACTGAAGGAAAATTCAGTGATCACAGTAATGGCCTTGATTGAAGGCTACAGGCAGGTATTGTAGTAAAGTGGCTATCAGTGAGCTTTCCATGGCTTTTCCTAGACTAGTCTCTTTCACCAGCTGCTTCTTTCGCCTTTGCCCGCAGGCATCCTGAACATCCTGGAGAAGATGAACAATAACCTTGAGTTGTGCCGGCGGTCACTGATCCAGTACCTGGAGAAGAGGCGGCAACGGTTCCCCCGCTTCTACTTCCTGTCCATGGAGGACGTGCTGCATATCGTCTGCAATGGTCAGTACATCTTGGTTTAAGTTCAGGGCAACTGCGATCCAGGACCGTAGTCAACTGTAGTCCAAGGATTAAACTCCGTTTGGACACGCACGAGTTGACGATAGTTGGACTCATCTCGTTAACCATTTGCGACTAGCCTACCACTTTTGGTTGCATTGTTGGTTGCCGTAGCCAGTGATAAGAAGTAACAGCGAAAAAAAGGAAATGGTCACACGTCACTTATAACCGATCCTGATCACTTTTTTTTTGTTATTTTGCCCATCTGCCACTTTTTCTCTCCAAAGGCCTATATGACCTGGGGATTCTATGTATGACCTCATCCAAAAACATTAAACGAACCAACCACCTCCATTTCCTCATGGTGACATCACCATACCAATTGAGGTCATTGACCCATGACCAGACAGCGGTTGACTAAGAGTTGCTCATACTTCAACTTTACTGCACATATGCAAGATGCGCCACGAGCCAACCACAAGTTGGTCCTTGATCAAACCAGGCCGTGTGTTTGCCAGATATTATTTTCCTTGAGTGTCCAACTTTTAAACAAAACAGTGCCTCGCCCAGGATTGCCATGTTGTCATGTCAAAGCAGAGGTCTAGTTCTAGGAGTTGCTCCAGGAAATCTCTAATTTTTCATCTTTACAATGAATTTTGAAGCACCTAGTCAGTTTCCTACATGGTGTGTTCGATGATAAATACCGGTATTCCAACATGAGAGTATGTTGCTATTTCTGTTCCTACATGTGCTGATTTATACAGGCTATGACTTGAACCAGGTCAACCTGTACCTGCCCAAGCTGTTGCAGAACCTGGGCCGCCTGGAGTACGAGGAGAATCAGTCGGAGGCGGCCGAGTGCAGCTTCAACATCACGGGTCTCATCAGCAACATGGGAGAGAAGATGCCACTCAAACAGGTCAGCCGGTGCCGAAAGATGGGGGAACCTTTCTCCCTGCCTGAAATGATGATGGCCAATCGTGTGTCTAGAGCTAGATCTAGGTTGTGGCCGGTTGAGCGTCATGGAAAAGTCATGGAAAGTCAGGATGTATTGGAATCCTGTTGAAGGAAGAAAAGTCAGGAAAAAGCTTTGGAAATCAAGATCATAAAAGGGTTATCCTCGTGGGTTGCAGTCCGCTTTTAATGTAAAAATGGAATAATATATTTGCAGGCTGTATCCTCATTGGTCGAGAGTGGCTATGGCAGTCTTTCAGTTCATAAAACAAAACAGTTTTTCTCTGCAAAATGGCTTCAGATGTCATGGAAATTGTCCCACTTTAGTCCTGGAAAGTTTTGAAAAAGTTCTGGACTTTGGTTTTCAGATTGTTGTGGTAATCCCGATTATTCAAGTTCACATCTTGATCACAACCCTGCCCATTCTCATTGCAAGAATCAAACCTGGCCATTCACGGGCTGAATCTGAATTTTATAGCTACGGCTGGAAAAAGCCTACCAGTTGAAGCCACTGCCTGCGGCTGTGGCCGCTTCCCACGGGCTCCTATGTCAATCCTAGCCGCAGTCAGTCGATTTGGACATGGCCGTAGTTGAGAATCAGTCACCCCTTACAACCTCCCTCCACTCTCCCCCGACAGATCGTCTCCTGCGATGGCCCCATCGAAAGCTGGCTGGGTAACCTCCTGCCCATGGTCAAGCTGACCCTGCAGACCCAGCTGTCCTCGGCCCTGGGGAATGACTCCCTGGAGCCTCCCGGCACGCCCCGCAGGACAGAGAGGGAGATACACAGCGCGGGGGCCAGGCGGGTCACCGTCGGCAAAGATGAGAGGAAAGGTCAGTGGCCTCTTGTAGACAAAGTGCCCTTTGCAAACTGCATTGAGAATTGTTCCATCTGACTTCCTGGTGTACATTTCATTTCACGTGAGCACCAGTATGACTTGAAAAAATTAATTTCATCTAACATGTCGTTAAGAATTTCTTTTTTCTTCGGACTTCCCAGTTCTGTGCGTTCTATGACGCACCTGTTGACATGCATCTTCTAAAACGTATATTTTGTAATGTGGAAATTAGGTATTCTCAGCAGGTGTGTTACCTGACAAACTGAAACTTTCTGCTTGTCAATTGTTTGCTTTTAGTTGTTTATTTCTTTCTACTTCCGTAAACATGTAAACAAAAACAACATACAAAAACAGAGTCTGTGATGCCAAATTGTTTTATTCCTAAAGCAGTGGATCTTCAGCCTGGTGATTTGGATACAAAATTTGAAAAGAAATAGCAGTGTATCCAGGATTGCACCTTCTGAATTCAAAATATTTGTTGAAGACTGTTTCCAAAGACAAATTTGGATCATGAAAATGTTTCAGTAGCATTACACCATGTGCATAGACCAGATTCAGTATTTCGTAGCGCATCCTCACAGTGAGCAAGCTTGTTGGTTAAATTTTAAGAGTATCGATATATGGCACGCTTTAGCCGGCCACTGTGTGCCGACACGCACTGGCCATGTGACATCAGGTGCTTTGTTTTAAGCTGACCTTGCCCAAACCCAGTTGGTTCATTTTTCATCTTTGTGTTTTTTAACTGTCGCACTTCTGATTCGGTACCGTAGGCACGGCGCGTAGCCGAGCAGGCAGTCGCACCGGTAGCCGCACCCAGCGGCCAGGCACCAGGGACTCGCAGGACAGCCGGGGCGGCCAGGGTGGGTATGACGGCCGACACGGTCTATCTTCCTGGATGCTGGACCACGTGACCGAGGTGGTGCACCTGGCCACGCAGATACAGATCACCGAGCAGACGGAGAAGTGCCTGAAGCTAATGGAATCCGGAGACAAGAATGCCATGAGGGTATGTGCAGCTGAGCTCCAGGGACAGGAATCTCAGGGGACGGGGGCTTATACTCCCCGTTTTTGACCAAGGATCGTCCTCCCACTTTTTCACTGTGGGGAAAAAAAAGGTGGATCATCAGGTTTTTCAAACTTCCGTACAACCAAACTGTATTCAAAAGCACTGCAAAAGAGAAAAAACTACAAGAGCTCTGCATACGCCATCCTGATAAAAAGTTGGCGAGGGTGAATGTCTGTGCAATCTGGACATCTGTATCATGAATAGCGCCCCCTAGTGGCGTGTGATGCCCTGATTCTCCCCAGATCTCCTAAAATCTGCGAGAATGATGAAGCCGGGTTGCATCTTCCATTGTTAAGAAAAGACAAAAAAAAGAACAAACAAAGCCAACCCTGATTGCACAGTAGCTAATGTAGGTCTGAATTTTGGAGCACCATCGTCATATTAACAAAGAGACATGTGGAACCACTGGGTCGGCTGAGAGATTAGTTCATGTCCTCTTTAATTTTTTTTCTAGGAAACCCTGGAGAAGGTGAAGGCCAGCATCCAGGCAGCCGTGGTGATGCTGAAAGGGGTTGAGGATGAGAACGAGAGGCGGACGCGTCTGGAGAAAGAGAAGAGGAAGAAGGAAGGTAAACCTATCTCGTCTTGGGACCCGGACCCACTGGGTAAAGAATCCGTTGTAGATTAAAAACTCCTGAAGCGAGTCCAATGTTCAGTTAAAATATGGAAACCATAAACAGTGCTGGAACTGTCACACGGCACACTGTGGTCCCGCTCTTTTTTTCAGGAGTGCTTCACTTTCGTGATCCTATGTTTTGTCAAATGGCTTCTATGTAAATCAAGCGTTATCAAAACGAAACTAATTAAATTTTGAAAAAGGAACAAAGAGTCAAATATCTTGAAAAGACCTTTGAAGGAATTGGAAATGAAAAGATTGTGTTCGTAAATTGGGAAAAAATGAAAGCGATATGTCTATTCCAGCGGCTGCCATGAGAGAGTCAGAGCAGACCAGCGTCATGGACACGGGCACCGTGGTGTCCCACACGGGTCGTCAGAGCTCCCAGTCACACAAGGGATCCCACTGGAGCCTTAACAACGAGAACGCCGCCCCCCTCAACCAGCCCACGACCATCACTGAGGAGGGCAGCAGCCTGTCAGGACAGCAGGCGGAGAATGGCGACAACCTGGAACCAGGTAGAGTTGTTCCTGTGCTTTCCAAAATCCTGCCAGATCTTCTTCTGTTTCCTGGATTAATTCTCCTTTGACTTGAAATGTTTAGATTTGCAAAAATAGTTTTGCCGCCAATTCATCAAGGCAACCATTTTGAATATCATGTCGATATGGGAGAAAAATGTTCTTTGTCTCTTTGATTTCCACATCAGACAAGCCCCTGGACACCATGAAGGTCGTGCTCCCGCCAGAGAGGCCAAAGGTCAAGGTCAAAGTTGAGGAGAAGATTGACAAGAGCGAACTGCAGCTGATGCTGTTCCCAGGGCAGATCCAGAAGATCAGCAACCTGATCACACTGCTGGCACACCAGAGGGACCTCCTGCAAAGGTAAGGCTTGGTTGATCCTATGGGGTCAGGTCATTGAAGGTCAGGCTGGGTCAAGCGAGGTCAGGAAGTTCAAATCGTGGCAGTTCAAGCCCGATTCAGAATGGCAAACTACCTGATGACTCAGCAGGCTGATCAAGTTGGGAGAGGTCGTCAAGTTGGGACAGGTCATCAGATTGGGTCAGGTCATATCAGATTGGGTCAGGTCATCAGGTTGGGTCAGGTCATCAGGTTGGGTCAGGTGGTCAGGTTGGGTCAGGTCATCAGGTTGGGTCAGGTCATCAGGTTGGGTCAGTTGAAAGGTTTAAGTTTGTGACATTTGTTGGTTGCAGAAGAGCAGCAACCCAGTTGTGCTCTGGCTCAAGAGAGGGCATCTAACAAAAGTAGACTACAGTTGTCTCTCTTGAAGTGCCAAAATACCATGGCAAGAAGCAATCAAGATAATCCAACAAATGCCAGGTCTTCATTTGCATAAAAAGGTATTCATATATACCTCAGTTTTCCTACTCAACAACTTGCAATGTGACCATGTGTTTAAAACATTTTATAATACCTGCTGTGATTTGATAATGCCAGCTGCGTAAGATCGTGTTGGCACCTGGATACGAGACCGTTTAATCCATTCTTATTGGTCAAGAGTCGGCTTGCGACGCAGCACACAGAACTCATCACGCACGCACAAAGTCCACAGGAGATTCTCCCGGACTACTTGCACAAGGAATATGCTGTCAAATGGTCAGGGGGTGTCCGAGAAAATGAGAATAAAAGTCTCTAACAAAATCGTTGGAAACCTGTCATATATTGACATCTTTTGACTCTTTGACTAAAAAATGGTATTCATGAATGGGAATAAATATGTGCTTGGTCGGTCGTTTAAGACTGGCTCAGTCTTAAATGCTGATCTTAAAAACACGTTGACGACCGGCCAAGTACGTATTTGTTCCCTTAGAATTCCAGTCACGAAGTCACATCAGGTATAGCTCTGCGCAAAAAGAATGATGACGTCAGTATGTGTCCTATTCCGGGAATCCAGTTTGTTATTATAAGGGGGTAGTTCCAATGCACACAGGTTTGAGGCCGAGCATGCCAGGATGATAAATGTGAGCAATCTCCATATTTCTCTTTTTTTAATCTCCTTGTTGCTTAGACTGATTGATAAGCAGGACGAGATGAAAGGATCTCTGCTGGAATCCTTCGATTGGCGATCTCGTCTGCGCTACATCTGGAATGAAACCAGCAACAACCTGTCTGTCAAGGTATGGATCAACTGGAGTCTTGTCTTGTGCGCATGGTCAAAGTGATTCTGCAGAGATGATGCAGAGCAGGAAACAGTTTCAAGAATTGCAGCTTCGGCAGCAAACAGCCGTTTAGAAGTCACTGTCTGTGTCCTAAAAATGTAATGTGTTGGGAATCAAAATCATTCAGTTCAATAATTTGTTGGCGTGTTTAACTGAGTTTTTTTGAGAAGCTGGATAGTCCAAAGTCAGTGTCAGGCCGTTTTTAATAGACGTTTTGAAAAACACGGCAAATGGTATGTCGTCAAGACTTAAAACTTATTCTGGGTGCATGTAAAAATGAGCTTTTAGAGGGTTGAGCGAACAATTTGCAAGAAATGTACCCCATGAATAACTCATGTTGTAGAACACACATTTTTGAATTGCTGTAGAGTGCCGACGCGAATACGTCACGCGCACAGTTATCTGTGTAGAAGGCATTGGCGTAAGAACCAGCGCGTGCACTAACACGCGCACGCACTCCATTCGTTTGCACTACACCTCCGGGTTCAAATGACGTCACACCTTGTTGCTGTATACCACAAAGAATGGAGTATTGCAATTCCCTCTGTTTCTGTAACATAACTTTCTCCCATAAACTGCGCCTCTTCGTCCATTTTCAATCAAAACCTTGACCTTCAAGGACCGGAAAGAAAAAGCCCTTGAGACTACCCAGCAATGACTCCGTCTTGTCAGATCACACATTGACTTTTCTAAATTGCCCCCTCTCTCAGCTGCTAGACACCTCCTTCGAGTACGGCTTTGAGTACATGGGCTCAGCCGGCCGTCTCGTCTTGACCCCAGACACCGAGCAGGTATTCCTCAGCCTGGCTCAAGCCGTCAAGGCCCACATGGCGGGACTGTGCGTCGGACCCTCGGTGAGTGCTCCCTCTGGGTTCATAATATCCTCTTAACCCATACAGCAGTGACCTATCCGGGTCTTGCAGGGACTGGTTGAGAACTGCAATTTCTCTTTCTAAAATGGCTGTCAAAATGACTGACAAATTTCTTCTTTCGTAAAAGAAAAGTGGCAGTACGTTCCATTTCTAAAATACCACCATTTTCAATTGACCTTATTATGATAAGGAAGTCATTTTTTATCATGTTCCTAGCATCCTTCTTATTAAATGTAATCTATCAAATGAGGCGTTGCCAGACTATTTTGGTTTCGATCCCTCACTTCCGTTGCTTAAAACATTTAGAAATAATAAATCCAAATATTTTGAATCATTCATCATTGTAAATGAAATTAATCTGTGGAAGCATCATTTCACTGCCAAAAAAAGCTAACCTCACTTCCAATTCAATATGGCTGACTTGTGAAGAAACAAACAAACAAACAAACAAACAAACAAACAAACAAACAAACAAGGCAACATAGGGGGCACTTTTCCCTCCAACCCCCCAGCTGAATACACAGCTGCCTGAACATATTTTTTCTCTGATGTCACTATTACGAATCTGTATTTCCATTATGAGGCATTTTGAGTTCGTAGATTGATATATCACACTTGTTTTTAACCCAGTATAAAATTTCTTGAATCATTCTTAGGAAATTTCAAATTTTGCAGCAGGATGCAGAACGAATGTAAAGTTTTCTCGAAAGTTTACAATGGTATAATTCTTGGATGTTGGTGTGAAATACCATTGTAGTGATTATTACAATATACTTTGCTAATGTGCTCAAAATTAGCACGTACTGTACATAAACCACAAATGTCTGCGAGATTAGACGTTTGAAATAAAAGAAATATCCCTGGTTGGTTGAGGTCTCAAGGTTAATGCTCTTTAGTTCCTTTTTCTCTTCTGTCTGCAGTGGAACAGACGTCTGGAGCTTGTCCAGGAGATGGCAAGAAGTCTAGGTCACCCTCTGTATCTCTTCAACTGCTCTCACACCACCGACTCGCAGATGTTAGCAGACATCTTTAGAGGACTGGCATCGACCGGTAAGATCCATAAAAGCCAATTCTTTTTGTAGTGATATGCTATCGTCCAGGAAACTAACTGGGTGACACTTGCAACGGATTGTTAAAATGGCAGACTTGGCAATGGGTAATCGGCCAGTTAGAAGTTAATTCTGTACACACCTTGAGCCTTTGAGACTTGTAGCTCTTAGCTTTACGTTGCGATAGGCGCAGGTGCGCTCCACTCAAGCAAACATATGTGTACCTTTACCCATTCTCTTTATCTTTGGAAGGGCTGCAAAATTTCTAGTTACGAAATGACCCTAGAAAATGTAACCACTTGATTGGACTACATATCTTTGACAAAGGCTGCTCTGGTTTCATTATAGCAGCTGCCAGGAAGTTTTTATAAAAAGCCGGACTCTCATCCAAAACGCTTCTTCAATCTATTGCCGGCAGGTGCCTGGGTCTGCTTCAACAACCTAGCCCACATCACAGCCCCGGTCCTCAGCACCTTCGGCCAGCTGCTCCAGAGCTACCTGGACGCCCTGAGGCAGGGCAAGTCGGCCACCCTCTCTCCTCCCTGGCAGACGGAGGAGGTGGCCCTCAACGCAGGCGGGGCCTGTCTGGCCACGCTGGACTCTGCCGTCTCCCTGCCCGTGGCATCCCGGGCGTCGGTGGAGGGAAGGGTCCTGCTGAATGCAGCCACTGCCCTGCTGCCCGGCGAGCTGGGCAGGCTGTTCCGGACGGTGTCGGCGGTCAGTGTGGACTTCCGTGTAGCGCTGGAATCCATGCTGCTTAGTCAAGGTACATGTTGTCATTGAAAGCCAACAACTTACCAAGAGCTGAGATTATTCTTGGACCACTGGACACCAAGCTGGGTACAAAAATAGAGTCTTTGCCAAAGTGGTCAGATTTGTGGCTTTCCATTATTAATTTTTCATGGACAAATATGTCTTGTTCAGAACTGAGTCAAAATAAGGCAGTCAGAAATGATGGTCAAGGAGGTCTGGGGCACAAGATATTATGCCATTAACACTGCTCCATCTTCAGGTGTGGTCCACTTTCCTTGACTTGAGTCTAGGTCACCAATTAAGCAAACATGAAAGCAAATAGAATTTGAAGTCATGAAATTAAGTTCGTAGGTTGAACGATTTTGAATCTGCGGCATGAATAGTCTAAACGACATCAGAGAATTGCGCACATGCTCCATACTTACCAACTATTCTGATGAAAGCCAGTCTAAGTTTTGAGACTGTAAGAAAAGGGGAGCATTCCGATTTTCATAAAAGAAGAAAAGTGATAAAGTCCCTGCAAACAGGCTGCTATCGCAGACAAAAGAGGGGGCTAGTTGCAAAAACAGGAGGGTGTCATTTGCTATGTGAAAATGGTAGTTGTTGAACTCATGTACAAAACTGGGTGCTCCAATTTCTGACTTCTCAGTGTTGTCTAACACGGTGCTCCTTTTTGCACCATGTATGAACCGACCCTCAGGATACGACGTTGTCACATTGGCAAAGTTAACAGTGATTCTTCCATTGTGCAGTTGGACAGAAAGTGCATCAAGGCATTTTCACCTTTAGCCCACACATCAAGCAGTAGTCTACAGTCTAACTTGACTAAATTTTTTTTTTCCTGAAGGATTCACCAAAGCCGTGGAGCTGTCCCACAAGTTGACGGCGCTGAGGGAAATGTACACCCAGATGATTCCCAACTCGTCCCCGGCCTCGCAGGACGTCACTCTCGGTATTAAAGCCGGCCACTGTTTGAGCAGATCACATGATCGTTGGAATTTGAAGTGCTTGGAGTTTTACAATGCTTAAAATGAAGCTGGAATGAATTTTTATTAGACACAATTGTTCTACATCTTTGTACTCTTCTGCAATGTATGAAAACTATGTTGCACTCGTATCTGGTCAAATGCACCGGAAAGTGCACGCTTTTTAAACAGTTATAGTTATCCATGCTTTTCTAGACAACTGAGGGCGCTGTTGCTGTGAAATCATCTTGGGAAGACATGGTGCACCTCGTGGGTTCAGGAACGATTATGAAATACACTTGTTACGGATGTGTCGTTACCAACAAAACAAACACTCCCAACCAACATTGGCTTTTTCCAACCTATGAGGTGCGCTTCTGCTCAAGGCAGATAGCAAACTTAACAGAAACAGTAGTGGTCCCAGTTTATAAGCGCATACGTTGTTTTTAGCCAAAGCTTGTCTGTTGGTTTTTTTAAATCCCTTGATGTGTAAAAAGCATTATTTAAATCCACTGGCACGACTGGTGTTTTTGTGCATTTCCCTCACTCAAGGGAGAGACCTGTGTGAGGATTCCCACGGCTGGAGCATTCAGGGCACTCGCTGCATTGTCACGGAGGCAGGAGCCATCTTGGACCAGCTGCTCGTGCTTCAGCTGGCCGAGGACCATGAAGCAGGTAAGGGTTTGATCGGAGGATAATCGTACCCTGATGGAGAGTCAATCAAGGGATGGGTGCCCAAATGGGGGGTGGGGCAAATGTCAATTATAGTTGTTTCTTGAGAGTGGTGACATGGAAATGGGCTAAATACCTCCCAACTGAACACAGAGACCTGTGTTGAGGTATTATTTGGGGACTTTCCTGATCAAGGTTCACGCTGGTTGAAGATATTTTCTTCTGAGACTAGTTACTCAGATTTTTATGTGAGTCAATACAAGGTATAGACTGTGATCTCCTGACTGGGAGTCCCTTCTCCTGAAGGAGGGTATGCTGTTTTATATGAAGGTATACACAGTGTCTTGAGTTAAAGCATGGGTTTAGAACAGAGTGAATGGGTCCATTATAGTTCTTGTCGACCCTCATAACAGAACATTGAAAGATTGTTGTCTCGTTTTCTCTCAGCTTTAAATGCGGAATCTCTAGAGAACATTGCGGAAGTGGAAAGCGACAAGCCGGAAAAAGGTGAGATGCTTTCAGTTTTGCCGCTCTGTGAAATACTCGGCAACTGTCTTTGCGGTCTCGGTATTGTCTGCTTCCTGTGGGTTGTGAAACACAGCATCTCAATCTTGTCAGACTTTATAATTTGTAGTGATTCTGGTGATTGCCTTGTCTGTTTATAAAAGTAGTGGTTTTTCTTTCATTCGGCACAAAAACATCAGAGGGCATTTGATCCACATTTGAGAATTAGTCATCAGAGAAAACCTTTGTCCGCTTGTAATTTGGTTGTATTTTACCTTCTTTCCTTTCTATTTTGCACAAGTTCTTAATGAACAAAGAACCCCTCCAACAAAAATTACGACAACCAATAAAAAAAGGAACCTGAGTGACTACCGTGAATTTTGCATCTGTCATAAATGAGGAGGCATTCAACCTTGCATGGAGTAGCATTGGAATTGTTGTAGTCCATCACATGTCATTCAGTCTTTAGCCAAGTCACAAGCTCTTCAAGTGAGCTGTGACATAAGCATTCCCGTGTCTTTTTTAAGCTTTTTTTTGTGAAGGGACTTATGACTGGATGTACCAAGGGACTTTGGCAGCTGGTTCCTCCTTTTTTTCACCTTCAGTGTGTACTCTTGGAGCTGTGATATATTTTCTTGTTGTCTGATTGCCCAATCCGCTCCAAGCTCAACAAGAAGGGCATGTTTTTTTTATACTCACAGCATAAGCGCGCGTTTATAATGGAGATCAGTGGCGTGTTTGGTGTGGAGCACGCTGAGTACGCTTAACAAGTTTATTCCTTAATGTATGGTCTTTGAGTACACACAGAACGCGTGCAAGAACCCGCTTGGAGAACTCACAACCATCTGTCTTTCTTTTGCCGCTTGGGGGTGCACTTTACCTCAGGGCGGATCGTATGCAAGCTTGCAACTTTTTCTTCAGATCAGCTGACTTCCATGTTTTGCTTTTCAGTGTGAGCCATTCAGTGCAAAAGAAAGTCTCGAGCAGTTTGTGACTTCTTGATTGCATATCTGTGCATGCCCAGATGATGTCTGATCACACGGCAAACTCATCCTGAATTTTCCCTGCCCTCTTCCCCCCCCCCCGACTAGGTGCCAACGAGCTTCCCGAGAGCCTGACCAAGTACGAGGCGGAGGCCGTGGTGACGGCCCTGCGCAACAACTTCCTACCGCGCCTTCACGGCAGCGATGCCGAGATGTTCAGCAGCATGGTGGAGGACGTGTTCCCGGACGTCCGAGTTCCCATGGGCTTCGCCGGGCAGGACGAAGTCTCCAAGACAAATGGTAATAAAAGGGCTTCTCTTGGAGCTGATAACAAGAAGCTAGCGGTAATCTTTTGTGATCCAACCAAGCTAAGTGACTCGCTGGTAGCCAGAGCTGCTTTTGAGTCTTACCGGCCTTAAAGAGAATCTTACATAGCATAAAAATCAATAACAACTGTGAAATTTCTTTTTACCTATGCAACATCCATTTTTGTCAGGATAGCAAACCGAAGGATACCTCAATACAAAGAGCTCCGTTTGCTCTTTCTAAAGGCAGTTTGAAACAGAATCAGGGAAAACGTTTCAGTAAGACTCATTTTGTGGGATTGGGTCACACTTCCTGACTGGAAATGTGTTTGTTACACATTCTAAAAAAGGTTCTCCGTTTTTTGTGTGTGCGGAGTATTGAGAAAAACACTCGTGAGTAATGCTTCGCCGTCAATTTTTGTGCAGGAGAAATGTATTACATGCACATTTTTCAGAAGACCTGTTTATAAAAACGAGGCTGTTTAGTGGGGATACTTGTGAGTAGAGATATCATTCTTCAGCACGGGTCTTTGAGGGAAGGACGGTGGAGGGTCTATCCGTCTTGTTTCTCAGGTCTGTAAAATTGTCCCTCAGACTGGCCCGGACAAGAATCATAAATGCTGTACGTAGACACATGTGACTGTTCACTGACGGCATTCTATGTACATGAAGGTATTGGTAAATGTGTAAAAAATGCATTCCCTCAGGACGTCAAGGTGCAAGTTGGCGGTGCTGCTTACTTTCAAGGCAGGTCCTGTCTCGGTGTGAGAGGGAACGTGAACACGCTTCTGTATTACTTGTATGTCAGGTCAAAGACTCGCGACTGCAAATGCAAATGTTGAATCCGTTTCAGCATGGGTGAATTTCACTTGCCAATGCCTTGTGATGTCAAATGTGTTCCACTTAAGCATTCGCCCCATGTGTGAACTGGCCCCAAGCTGGTCAGCGAGAAATTTCAAGCTTTTGTGTTGGGCGTACTTACATGTCAAAACGTTGCGGCTTGGAGTTGTATTAAATCTTAAGCATGTAATCCCATGGTCAGCGCAGCTGTGAAACTGAGCCCCGCCAAGCATCCTGTTCTATCTTCTCACCATTTGAAAATATTTCTCTCCCTCTTTCCACAGGTGAAGTGAGCCTGAACACGCCCGTGGTCAGCACCCACCCGGCCTCCACCACCGCCCAGCTGGTCAGCCCCGCCGGCGGCCAGGACAAGCAGCCGCTGGACGACATCCACTCGGCCATCGCCGTGGCAACCAGCGAGCTGGGACTGTTGCCGGGGACAGCCTTCCAGGCCCGGGTAGCGCAGTTGGCACAACTGACCGACAGCCACCAGACCGTACGCCACGAGTCATTTTTGTTTATAATTCAAAGGGGGGACAGGGCACCATTTTCTTGATGAACTGATCAGCAGGGCCCGTTTACACTGAGCTTCTGAAAGTGTCTCTCAGTAAATTTATGCAGGGAGGGGAAATGTGAAATTGGCTTGAGAATTGTTGCCTAAGCTGTATTTTTTCTTCAAAAAAGTTGGCTTGAAACCAGTCATGAGGGTCATAAAGGGCACTTTTTTACAAGTTTACAAACAATGCCTTTCCGTTGTGAACGTAAGCCAAAGTTTTCTGTTGATTTTTGAACATTTTCAATATAAGCTGAAATAGAGTCCTTTCTGTCCATGGAAGTCTCCAACCTATATTCCCTGCACAGTTGTGAGTATTTCCACTTATACGCTGGCATTTCATCTTGTGGTATTTCTGGTTTAAGTGACCCTCTTCAGCAAAACTATTAAAAGTACTTTCATTCAATATTTTTAAACAACAGCATCTTTAGTATAGGAAGTTAGTGTTGTATTGTGTATAATGCCTGCACCAAGTCCCATCAATCTGATAGGTGGGTAGTTGATCACATGTCATTGAATTGTTTGCTCTGTTCCACCCGTTGAATAGAACTTCATTTCACTGGACTGGTTCCTGCCCCCATTTCATTGATTTTATTCCCAGCGACAGGAAAAAAGTTCCATTCCACTGGACTTAGCCTCTTGAAGTGGGACATTTCATCTGTCACCTCATGAAATTGTCCTTACTGTTTCACTCGTAAACACTCATACAGTTAGGCACCTTTTATCTGGACGTTCGTAGATTTATTTAGTTTTGGTCTGTTTGTCTCTAGGTCATCGTGGTTGGTCCCGCAGGATGTGGCAAGAGCGAGTGCATTAAGACGTTGGTTGGAGCCCAGCGGGAGATGGGTAACGTCGTCAGCGCCCAGCGGATCTTCACCCAGGCTGTGGAATCGCAAGAGCTCTTGGGCTACTCCGACCCCAAGACTAAGTAAGTTAAACTTGAGTCGAATTTGGTTGTCAAATACTGAGAGCATGTTGCTAGACACGAAGAAACATCCATTTAAGCATGAATTGAATTTGAACGTGCAAAGCAAAACAGCGACTAGTACTCAACGGACCGATTCAGGCATTGGTAAACAAATAATGAATGTTTCGCGTTAGTGGAATCGAACGTTCAGTCTGTCACCTCATGAAATTATTCTTACCATTGCACACAAGAAGTCAGGATTGGTGTAGTGGCTTCACCTTCCACCTCTGTGACCCGGGGTTCGAATCTCACCTAGTCCCTGCCTGGGTCCCTGCCTGGTTCCACAAGTTTCACTTGTATATTTATCTGGTTTTTCTTCCTATCGCTGAAACTGAACATTTCTTCTTTGCGTTCTTCTTTGCCACTTACATTCCCCCTGTCTTTGGTATTTTTAGTGATGGATGGACTATTTCTGTCAGATGGACAGAAATAAACTAAACAAGCGTTCACTACATTCACCATTTGTGTAGCTGATGTTGTAGTCAAGACCAGTCACATGACTGTTCACAAGACCAGTCTAATGTACATGTAGCTGGGTGAACAATGACAAAGGAATGTGTTTGTTGCAGCTTGTTTGATTAGCTTCTGATCTGAAGTCAGACTGGAGGTCTTGTGTTAGCCCTGTGACTATCTTGTGGTGTCTTGTGATGGTCTTAAGAAGTCTCGACGACAGCGCTCTTCCATGCAACCAATCATTTTGATTTCTCTTTCTCCAGGGAGTGGAGAGACGGTCTGTTCATCTCCCTGCTGCGCAAGCTGTGTCTGGTCCACAACACCGACTTCACCCACAGTCGGCCCGTCATGAAGACGCTGCACCTGGACGGCCCCATCGACCCCCGCCAGATGGAGATTTTCGGTTCCGTCTTGCACGGCGACGGCGCACTGGTGCTGGCCAACAATGAGCGCGTCCGCCTGCCGGACAACCTTCGCATCTTTTGGGAGGTACGTGTGTGGCCTCAGTATTTCATGGGGACAGTGACGTGACAACAGTGACAACAATAACTGATGACTTGAAGTGTTGAAAAATAGCTTGTGTAAACATGACTAGTGACTTGACTTGGGAGAACATGCTTGGAACTTGACCTGTAGAAAAACTTGATTTGAGAGAAAATAATTTCTAACTTGACTTGTTACAAATGACTTGTGATTTGACTTGAGTGAACATGACTTGGGACTTGACTAGTGGAGAACGTGACCTGTGACTTGGGAGAACGTGACTTAGGACTTGACTTGTGGAAAAACTTGACTTGGTAGAAAGTAACTTGTGACTTGACTTGCGGCAAAATTAGTAGTGACTTGACTTGAGAGAACATGACTTGGGACTTGACTTGGGAGAACATGACTTGGGACTTGACTTGGGAGAACATGACTTGGGACTTGACTAGTCAAAAAAATGACTTGTGGAAAAACTTGACTTCAGAGAAAATAACTTTTAACTTGTGGAAAAATGACATGTGGAAACATGGCATCTTGGATAGTATTTACCTGTTAATGTTACCATGCATGCCTAACATATTTTATTTTTCCTCATTTTGGCAGATGGAGTCCGCAGCTAATCTGAGTCCCGCCGTGCTGTCTGAGGCAGGCTTGCTGTCCATGGACACCTCGGACGTCTCCTGGCGGCTGGTGCTGGCCAGCTGGCTGGACCGCTGTGCCGACAGGGACCAGCCCATCCTGCGTTCCCTGACCCACCGCTACGTGGGGCCCACCCTGGACCACCTGGACCGCTGCACCAAGCCTGAGATGATGGTGGCGGGCGGGACAAGGGAGAGAGGGGAGGGGCGCGTGGTCGGGGCCGGGAGGAACAAGGGGAGGATGAAGAGGATGGTGGACGTGTCGGAGATGAGCATGGTCATGACTTTCTGCAGCCTCCTGGAGGTAAGTTGGGGAGGAAACCGGACCTTAGGGTGTGGCTTTGCTGCTGGAAGAACACCCAGATATTCAGCCCATTAATCTCCTACTTCATATTAGCGTTGCTTACCTTACATTAGAGATGTGGTATTGTGTAATTTTAAAATGTACACATTAATGAGTAAGCATAGACTCAACTGACAAATTCCTGAAATTGCCGTTAACCCCTTCACGGCGTGATTATTTTGACCTCGACTGCTGGGCTGCGGTATGCCCTGAATGGAGGGCTTTGTCCAGCAGCAGGCCCCATTGAACCAGCAGCTGCATGGTGAATAGACTGTATGTGTGGTACGCACTAATCCTCACACAATGGGGCGGTAGTAGCAGTCCTCCGTAGCCAAGGGGTTAAACGAAGCTGCTGATTTGGTATCGGTTAATTGCTTTACAGTTGAATGGTTTTGACCGTGCAATCTGTGTATATAAGGGTGCGTCTCGTAATAAAAGAAGGTTGCAGTTCTTGCACAGCCATCTTGCATTTGTTCCATATTTTTTAGTTGTCATTACTTGCTTTTACATTACAACTAGAGGTGTTTCCAAGGTAACGTTATGCCACTAAAGGATGGGACTTGATTTAATGGAAAACTTTGAAAACCCTTAGTGGTGACAAAACTTTGGTCCTTTCTACTGGTTCCAAGCATGGGTGCGTTCCGAGCATGCACAGTACCTTCCACTAGACCACTTTGTCTGCTGCCACCATGTGTCTTAGGCCGTGTCCGAAACGGGCTTCCAGAGCTACGGCTAGGTCTATTGTCTGCGCGTCTCCACGCATTTCCAATGGAGCGAAGACCCAGACCTAGCTCTAGACAAGAGCTTGGGATGCAGCCTTAGAGTCCCCCCCATTCCATCCCAGCTCATAATGCGGCTATTGTTCAGTTCCATTCAGTGTGCAGGCAACTTGCACACTGCCAATCAAGTCAAAGGGAACAGTGGTCCTGTCAATTTGTAGCATCAATGCAGTGTGTTGCTACATGACTGGTGATACTTGCCTCCTTTTTTTCTCCGCTTAAAACTCCTAGCATCGTACTCTTTATATATCAGTGCAATTTGTAATGGCTAGTGAGTTCAAAATAAATGTCTGTTGAATCGAACGGAATTGAGCGATATCAGACTGATTTGAATAGAATCAAATCAAATCTAATCGATGGAATCGAATCATGGAGAAAACTGGCAGCAATGGTGTGAACTGAATTTGTAGCAGTGATCTTGTTTCTCCGCTTTTTGTTTGTTTTATGCTTAGCTCTGTGATTTCTAAACACGTTAATCCGTCTGCTGAGCTATTGGCATTGCCGTCAGGGGTAACAAACAAACAGTATATCTTTGATGCACTCTGTCCCGAAAAATGACCCTGTTCTCAGTGCTGATATAGTTTTCTCAAAAATAGCCATACGTACCCGAATGTGCACAGTATTTTGCTCACTAGAAGAACAGATAATTTGAAGAGGATGTCAGTAACGTTTTTCCTTTCATTTCTGCAGGCCTTAATCTCCCAAAGTACAGAGCTTGAGCCGATCCACTACGAGCGCTATGTCAACTTTGCCTGCGTCTGGGCCTTCGCCGGTACCCTGGAGGAGCGTGACCGGTCGGCCTTCAGCGCCTGGTGGCTCAACCAGTGGGGAGAGTACATTGATTACCCAGACGGGGCGGATGTAAGTACATGTATGACTTGGCCCTAGGCTGCTTCTGTGTCAAAAGTTGCGGCTGTGGCTGGCGATAATGCAAGTGTTCTGTGAGAAGTGAAGTTAGCCCTAGCCAGTGGCTTGTACAGAAGCAGAAGGACATAGCCCCAGGATGTGTCAAAAGTTGCGGCTGTGGCTTTCAGAGTCATCCTGGAGTTTACATGAAAGCATTAAAAGACACTCTTCGTTATCATGGGGACTGTTACTTGCATGTTAAAGAAAAGACCATACAGTACTTACCTCGAAGGAAGAATTGGCAGAAAATGTTAACATAACTTTCTTGAATTGGTGACAGAAAAAGCAGCAAATCGACACATAGTGAAATATTCTTAGGGTTAGGGCAATATATTCCCAGGGTCAGGACAATATATTCTCAGGGTTAGGGCAATATATTCTCAGGGTTATGGCAATGTACTGTATCTATCATGGATTTGGAGCGCAAACTCCCCAGACGTGTAAAACGTTATTGTTGCTGGGGCCTAAATACCCCTATGGAGATGCTACTGGTCTTTGAATTTATGCACATTCCGGTGAAAATCAGTCGTGTACATCATGCTATAGTTGTGCACATATTAGTGCATGCATGCAGTATGCCTCTTCAGGAGGGTCACTAGAGTGCTGTGCACTGTTGTCACTTGGTAGTGTGACCTCTCTGCCAAAGGTGAAGGAGCGTGTTAGCCAGCTCTTAAAAAAGCAAAGAGAACTTCACACTGCATTAGCAACTCTTTTTTCTAGGATCTGATTTGCATTTGTTTATTTTAAAAGTATACTGGCTTCCTCTTTTTATTTGCCTCCTTGTCCAGGTGTTTGATTACTTTGTGGATGGTGATACCCAGCAGTTTGTGCACTGGAGCGAGGCTGTGCCACCTTACAGCATGCCGCCTCATGAGGGCATCCCGCCCGACGCATTCGTGCACACCATCAGTGTAGAGGTTCGTATTAATTTCTTCTTCCAGTTATCTGCCCTGTGTTGTATCTTCTTAAAAAATTGAAAGAATAAAGTATATTTTACATTTTGGTTCTGGCTCTTGCTTGGTAATGGTCAAATCCATCACATGTCCAGTTTCATTCAGCCCAGTCACAAGGCCTTTAACACGTCTTTTTTACAAGTCCTTCGACAAATCCAGTTCCAAAGTCCTTCAGCAAGTCCAGTTCCAAAGTCCTTAAAAGCAAGTCCAGTTCCAAAGTCCTTCAGCAAGTCCAGTTCCAAAGTCCTTCAGCAAGTCCAGTTCCAAAGTCCTTCAGCAAGTCCAGTTCCAAAGTCCTTCAGCAAGTCCAGTTCCAAAGTCCTTCAGCAAGTCCAGTTCCAAAGTCCTTCAGCAAGTCCGGTTCCAAAGTCCTTCAGCAAGTCCAGTCACAAGCCCTTTTATGAAGCTCCTTGTTTTGCTGCGGGCTCGTAAAACATTTGTACCGATTTCTGACTTGTCAATGTTGGCAGGTATGCTACAGCGCTTGCTCTTAGCTAAAAACCCTAGACATGGACTCGAATGAAGACCTTGGTACGAACCATCCATCATCACTTGTTCTCAACGAGAGGGTTTCTTGTTACAAGTATTTTTTTTTCTGTTACATTGAATAGCAAATCTCCTACTTGCTGAGCCTCTTGTCCGATGCTGGCAGACCAGTGCTGCTCACTGGGGAAGGAGGTTGTGGCAAGACCGCCATTGTCAATGACAGGATTCGAACCGTCTGCTCCGGTGAGGTAGCAGAGGTGCTGTCCCTCTCAATCACAACCAACAGGCAAGTTGCAGATTCTTAACCTGAACCACCAACCCCCATTAGGAATCGGAACAACCTCCAGCAAATGAGTAAACCTGGCCTCAACATTTAAGGAAGAGCTTGAATGTATTTTGATTTTTCTCCCCTTTAATAATCATAACACCATTTCTGACCGGATGCAGTGATATTCAGAAGTCATTTTGGCTGTAATTTTTTTTTCAGTTTGTATTAGAAAGAACAAGCTGAGTTTGGTTTGCCAACCCTGGCATCCTGATACAACTGGTCATCATAATGAAACCGATGACGGTCCTGCTTGATTCACAGTGCCCCAGATAAAATTGAAAGGCCTCAAAACTGGCATTGGCGACATGTGACTCAGTTTGTTAGATTGGGTCACATTTTTAAATGGACCCTTTTAAAATACGTGTCCTTCATGATTCTTTTCAGCACAGGGGAGGAACTGTACAATTTGTTAATGACAATGTTTTGGATAGATTTTCGGGGGCTAAGCAAAAAAGGATTTGCCAACTGAATTTTCAACTAAGCAGCTCAACAATTGCTAGTGAAATAGGCCACACGGCGACTTGGTTGGTAACCTGCAACAAAATTTCCGTACTCTTACAGCAATTCATTTTTACTTACCTTCCTGTGAAACTGGTCCGCTGTCATAGAAGAACGGGGCCTTGGTTCCCGACGGAGTCGTCTAAAAGGTTCTAAAATGCTAATTTACCCCCCCCACCCTCCCCTTTGGGCTTTTTATTATGAAGGTTCACCACGAGCCGCGTGCTGTGGCAGAGACTGGAGGAGCGGCTGGAGTGGAAACACGGCCGGACCTACGTGCCCAAAGGGAGCAAGAAGTTGATGTGTCACGTGGACGATCTCAACCTGGCCCGCGTAAGTCGTGACTGGTTCCAAAAGAGAAGACCCACGGCACAGAATGTGCCTCGTGTAGGATATGAAGAAAATGATTTATAGATAGATAGGCTTCTGGAGTAGCTGACAGTAATACCAGCAAGTTCCTCGTGAGGCATCTACAAGACGGAGCTTTTTGGGGGGGGCTTACGCAGTTTGGAGCACATGCTATCTTGACAGCTTTTGAGGTCGAAATTCTGTGCCTTGAAGAAGGAACGGTTAACTCTGAAAGTTTGACCATACTTCTTTTTTTGTTTTGGAAATGAGAAGAAAACATTAATGTTCAAGAAATACTTTTTTGTCTCTCCATTTAAAAATTTTAGCCTGTAGATGCGACAAGAAATTTTCTTTAGATAAAATTAATTTTCTTTTGTTAATAAATACAAGACAATCATTTTTTATCAGTGGACAGAGATAGTTTTGAGCACTGTCATGTTCAAATTTACTCCATCGTAGAGGAAATCATGTACAGTTCCTGTAATATCCTGTGTGGGTGCGTTTGAGCGAGTCACTCGCGTTATCAAAACGAGTATACTCCTGAGCGCTCGAACGGCTGGAGTATGACCCGAGGGTCAGCGAGAGTATACTCCTGTACCCGAGAGTAATGCACACCCATTCTACTCGTGTTAACAGGAGTTACCATGACAACGCATCCTATTAGTCCTAATTGTCTATCATGTGGATGAATACAGCCAACATATTTGCATGTTGAATTGCCATCAAAGTCTAATTCCTTTTCACTGTTTTTGTCAGGTGGATGAATACGGCCGGCAGTCAGCCTGTGAGATGGTCCGCCAGCACCTGGACTCCGGCGGCATGTATGAGCCCGACACCCACAGGCTGCGGGAGGTCAAGAACGTGACCTACGTCACCACGATCAACCCCAACTCTCCGGCCAGCGTGCCCCGGCCCAGCCAGCGCCTCCTCAGACACTTCTCCGTCTTCAGCGTGCCTTACCCCAAGTAAGACTTCACCAAGTCAAATCCTCGGCTTGTTCGGTGTACAAGTAAATGCTATATACCAGGTTCTTCACCCCCACACCAATGTATATATTCACACAGTACTTTCCACCTGGTCGGCGAGTCGTGGGAAACTCCCACCTGAGCAAGCCAGTGATTTTTTTCACAGCTCTCGGACCCCACTGAGAATACAGAGGGAATCATATATGCCTCTGTATAAGTTCAATCATGTTATAAGATTAATATCTTCCAACATGAAGCCATCTTAATTCCATTGTTTAGGCCTACCACTTAAATCACGCTGACTTACACGTTGTGGCAATGGATCTATTGTGATAAAGAGATTTCCCAAAGTGGGTGTATCAGGCAGTGGGCACTTCTAAGGGGAAGAGAGTTTCATCCCTCTAATGCAGTCACTTATAAACCTAATATCGAACCTGCCAACCATGAATATCCGTACACTCCAGGTCCAGTGAAGTTCATAGTGCATGTATCCTCTATATCCCGCTGAATACTAAAAATGTACGAGGTGCCGGTTTCTAAAAACCAGTCACATCATGAATATTCATGATACATTCATTCCCTCTAGGTCCAGTGAAGTTCACAGCATCTTCACCACCCTACTGAATACCCACTTCCTTACCCCAGCCACCACCTCCTCAACGTCAGCCAGAGACAAAGTGAGTTTGTTCGAGTCGTGGCCAAAGACACTCGCTTGAGTTCTGAACTTTGAGTAGGTCAGGGAGTATTGCAGTCGAGTCCATCACAAGTCCATCACAAATCCATCCCAAGACATCCAGTCTTAAGCTAAGTCCCAAGCTATTCAAAGGCGGTGTGACAAAAGCCTTCCGTTATCATTGTTCACCCTGATGTTTATGACAAAACTTATGAATGGCCTTATGAAAGGACTTTTAAGTAAGATTTGAAGCTTTGCTTGGTGGATGAAACATGAGAAATGGGTTTGCGGGTGCACCATGGAATCAATCTCTTTTGGACGAGGTGTGGTTCTTAAAAGAACCGGTGAGTATAATCTCTCCTGAGGACGACCAGAGCAAACGTCGAGTTTATACTCACCGGTTCTTTTAAGAACCACACCTCGTCCAAAAGAGATTGCTTCCATGATGTACCCGCAAACCCATTTCTCATGAAAGGACTTTTGATGAACTCAGCTCCAACACTGGATCGGAGCAATTGAAATAGAAATAGCCGATTCATTCAATACTTCTCCGAGGTCTCCGAGGGAGCTATACGTGCTCCAGGATGTTAAAAAAGTTCATGTCCCACACCACAGCGATCAACAACTGTTTTCTCATACCTGTGACTGAAGGAATTTATCTAAGGAAATGAGCTCTGAATGTCAGAAGTTCAGAAGACGATAGGCCTACCATTAAACTATAATTAACATAACAGGTGTCAATGATACCCTCTGCGAATGCACTGTTCCCGCACTGTGGGCACCAGTGAGTACAAGCTCAAATGTCATGTCTTCTGGTTAGCGGTCCCTGCGTAACCTTGTGCGTTGCGGGGGACAGGAACAAGTCTATTATACAAGCCTTGACAATTGATCAAATTGCTCGGTTACCTATGCACAAAATGTAGTGTGGGTACTATGCAAATTGACTATATGAGCAACAGATGTCGATCTCGAGCACATGCTATTGGCAGAATGTGGTGTCTCACGGTGAGTGTGATATGCGGATATGTCGCGCTGTCATGTGATCTATCTGGGCCAGTGAATAGGCAATATCCAAGACAGAGGTACGACAGTCTAAGATCGTTCCACAACTGTGCCCTTGGTCGTGACACAATTAAAACATAGATCTCTCTCTTTCTATGTCACAGTCATATGTTTGCCTGCCAGTGGCCTGTAAACTGGCTAGCCACCAGTACAAGAGCTAAACATGAATTTACAGTGTTCAAAACGTAGAACACCGGATAATAGACCCTGTTACCCACAAAACCGACTCAAGATGACGGTAGAATTCCCCCCCCCCCCAATTTTCCGCAGCGTCATCACATCATCGACAAAGAAGAGGAGCAGTTGCGCGCCCTGATGTCCATGGTGGTCAACGTCACCATCGAGGTCCAGGACCGGATGCGGGCCATGTACCTGCCCACGGCCGAGCGCTGTCATTACGTCTTCACCCTGAGAGACATGCGGAAGATATTCAGGTAGCTTTCAATGGTTTCATGACACAAATTTCTCCCATTTCAATTCTCCCCAAATCCCAAGTCCTTTTCGAAGAAAAGATTATAAATGGGAGTGTGTCTCCCGTGGGAATTGAAGTATCAATTCAATCATGCCCCCTACAGGTGGCCAATCAATTGGCTAGATATTGCCCCCACTGATGGCCGTGCCCAAATCAGTCATGTACTCTTTATCTAGATCTGTAGCAGAGGTCAAAAGGATCACCACCAGGGGGTAATAAAAAATATGTCCGCTGGCGAAAGCTGTCATTTCAGAATGGATGTTTTCTTTCCAAGTTGGAGAGGTCTAACTCGGATTCGTTTAAATGGCAGAAATTCGTGACATATCCAGCAAAAATTCGTCTGGTCAAACATTTATGTATTTCACGACTGAAAGAGGTCAGTGAGCCTGTTCAGTATTTCAAACGGGCATTTCAAAAAGACATTTCAAAAGGGCAAGGTTATTTGAGAACAAAGAGGACGTGTGCGTTGGTGTATGGCTACGCTGCTAGGGCCGACCGTGCGAGCGCGCATAAAGCTGTTCTCGAAATGACCGCGGACGCACTTCATTCTGGGCAGGCGCTGTTGGAATACCAAACAGGCTCATTGCTAAGACTCTAAATTTTCTGGCTATCATTCTTTTTCTGCAGCTGATGAATAGGTTGGTGTACTTTATTCACGTTCCCATGTAAATTAATTATATTGAGAAAAGAGCTCATTTAGTACTTCAGTTGTCAAGTACTTACTTGTGGCCGAATATTTTGCTTTGCGTCAAGTACTTACATGCTCATTTGACTTAATATTTCCCGTTCCCATGTAAATGTAGTGCGTAAATTGAAATGCTCATTAAAGTGCTTGCGTTATTGCGTACTTTCCTGTGTTTAAAAATTGAATTAAAAATAGAGGGTTTGACTGATCAGTCACTGAAGGAGAACAGAAGTCAAGAATAAGTCAAGTCTGCTCATTTGTATTCAATTTATGTCTTTTTGATACTAAATGCACAATACATCTCTGTGAGAGGAGAGTTAAGGAGAGTTTTATAGGGCTGTTTTAGGAACTGATAGGACAAAGATTTATTCCGCAGGAACATCTGTCTGTCACTCCGGCCAAATGCGACTCGAGAGAACCTGCTTTTGTTGTGGCGGCACGAGTGCGAGTTCATCTACGGTCAGCGGCTGGTCAGTCCCGTGGACTTTGACCGCTACCAGCAGGCGTTTGTGACCGCGGCCAGGAAGGAGTTCTCCAGTGAAGAGTTGGTGAGAAAACTTTAATAGCTCGAGAGAAAATTACAAAACCATGCTTTGCAGTGAAGGAGTAAATTCTCTTTTTTTTAAACCGCATTCTGGGTATTAGTGGTGTACCTAGCTGTCTGGTCCAGAATGACAAAGTGGGACTAACGATTTCTACAAAATATCAGGCATGCAACTCTTCCTCGGATCAGCTGATTTCCATATTTTGCAATTGAAAATCGAAAAACACTGTACAAAGTCTTGTAAAGATCGGATTTCCTTTTTTGGGGGGGTCAAAGTTCAAGTTGGATGCCTGAAATTATTATCCACGTTTTTGTCGTCCTAAAAGAATTCTCCATGCCCCCCTCCTGAAAGATGGTAGTACCCATTTCAGAAATGTTAGCACTTTCAATTCCTTTAAAAAAAGTTGGCAACATGCCTGGCCAATCCCCCGCCCCTACTGGGTACACTGCTCCTTGTAATGCAGGTTTGGAATATCTGGGTGGAAAGGAAACATTTTGAAATTCTGGACCTCTTTTCTAACAGTATTATTCTATTCCAAAGTCTGGAAATGTAAAATGCCTATTTGCCAAAACAATCCTATATTTGCCAATAACTTGGCTTGAGTTTCCTTCTTCAACTGTATTAATTTTCAATGTGCCAGCTTTGTGTTTCAAAAAGCCAAGGTCTTTTGGGAACAAAGTGCACACGTATGGCTGCGCCGATAGGACACACTATCGTGCGCGCATATAGCTGTTCCTGAAGAGAATCGTACAGAGCATGCACTGTTGGAATACCGAACTGATTCATTGTCAAGTTTTCCTCTGCCATTTTAACTTCCTCATTTGAATCCTCCGCTGACTTTCCTGTTTTCCCCTGGCAATTGTAACCATTTTCAAGAAACTTGACGGTCCCCGGCCGGAATGGCAGTTGCTTCATATGGTAATTGGCATGGCACTACTCACCACCAGAGCGATCGTCATAAATTGCACTGATATAACCAAGCACCAGTCACTCTCAATGAGAAACGTGCACTCGTATCAGCCACAACTGAGACTTCACAAGAGATTTCTTAATTTCTCATTCAAAGAAAGAGTTGATTGTCTCTGTAGTAACGGCAGAGAAGCACTCACCGCCAAGACATACAGAGGCTGCCTGTTTAATACTCGAGTTAATGCAGATACAAACTCTTACTCACACGAACGGCAGAATTATAGCTCGTGGTTATAAACGAGGGCATTCTCTCAGGAGGGGAGTGTTAAAGGTCTCGCATTACACAGTCATTTCATGATGGTACAAATATTGAGTGTTTTCTGTTGGCACGACGTGATGCAAGAGTGATAATGCAGGCAATAATTTCCTGCACCCATGCGTATCGAGAGTACCTCACACGAACACAGCCACAGCAATTTGAAGCAAGTTGGGCCGAGTTTATTGAGTACCCTTAAATTCCATCAGTTTGCATTTAGACCCCAAAGAGAAGGTGAAAAATCTAAAAAAAAAACATCCGTCACACTCTTACAATGCATGATGGAAGAAAAATCCAAACTTTGTATTCTGGGGTGTAGCTTACCGTCAAGGGCAGGTTGAGGTAAGCAACAAAAAGTACCCCAAGGGTTGGCTGTAAAATGAAGGTGAATATTCTTAATAAGTAGCAAAGAGGAAATTTTAAAGCATTGAAGGTCTCCCCTCTTACACACACCATTTTACGCCCTTCACTTGTATTATTGCACGCTAGAGACCATAGTTCATTACAATTTGTCCAATCACTGTGTCCTTGCACCTACACATCAGCATATGTAATAAAACTGTACAACACGACATCACGTTTATGCCCACGTCGTGAGTGTTGATGTTTATACTGCGTATTTGTGATTTGCTGTTCAAAACTTGATCACAGAATGTACAGTAGAGCTGGAGATTTGCTTCGACATTTTAGATGTTTGAAAGAATTTTCCTCTGTACCGGTAGTTTTTTTAATAAAACCCGCCTTGAAGATCAGTGCGCGAAACACACTTAGGGCTAGTTCATACTAAATGCAAAAGAGAAACGAACTTGAAATTGTGACATCAGATCCTATACTTGCTGGCAGTTTGCTGGCATTTCAACCTGACTAAATTCCGCTGCAGATAACTGAATATCAAATTTTTTTCCGCGTTTGCCTCAAGTGTGAACTAGTCTCAGGTGTCTGTCTTTTCAGCTGCTCAACGTTTGCAACTCTCAACAGCTTCAGGTCATAATCCCAAGCCTTTCTAAGTCCAATTTTCAACTTCCCCACATTCCAACTGCCCGACAGCTGCAGCTGGTCATCAACCCCTCCCAGCCCCTCTTCAGCAACCTGGTCCAGCAGGACTCGGGCATCGTGACGGCCGGCGGCTACCGCTCGGCCACCTCCACGGCCAGCAGCAGCATCGGGGAGGAGGACCCCACTGACCAGTACCGGCCCTGCGAGGACGTGGAGGGTGTGAGGACGCTGCTGCGGGACGCTGTGGAGGAGTACAACAAGTCGCACGCCAAGATCAAGCTGGCCCTCTACAGGGTGAGCAGAGGGGTGTGAGGTTTTTATTCGGGGGGGGGCAGTTTTCAGATTTGAGGATTCTCGATCTGAAAATTCGGCATTGAAGGGGTTCGGTCACCCAGGGTTTGCTTCTCTTTTGAACTTTCTGCAACAATACATTTTGGCTCGGAATTCACTTTTGTATTCATCAACCAGAATCAGTTTTCTGTGGTAACACAACGTCCATGCATCATTAATACATGCCTCTTTGACCAATAGGCTGCTGTGATAACACAACGTCCAGGCATCATTTGGTATACACTCCTTACATGCCTCTTTGACCAATAGGCTGCTTTGCTGTGAATCGACAGACGGGTGCGCGCACGTGCGTCAAACATTTAAGAGCATGCATGTTAGTGTAATGCCACTGCAGTTACGGCATCTCCCTGGGTTACTTTACCTACCTACGATGGGGTGCTATTCCTTGGGAGGTCACTCCTAAAATGCATGTAATATTTGTTAGTGCTGCGAGTGATGTTTTGCACAAGGTTTTAGGAAGCAAACACCCGAAACCAAACACAAGAAATACTGATAAGAGCAACAAGTATTCCCGAAGAAAGATTGTCAAAGTGAAGTCGCCTTGGATAAAGACACCAGAAAAGCTTGTAAACTTCCATGTCTGAGTATATGGGTTCAGACCCCTAATATTTTTGCTGTTGCGGTTAAACTACTGTGAAATCTCTGGAAGGCGCTAGGGATTCACACGTTGTTTTTCAAATGGTCACTGAAAGCGGATGGATTGTGGCTTGTGTATGGATTGCTTTCAGTTCAAATTTCAAATGGGGCAGAGGTGGGCACCCCAGGGACATAGACTTGGCCCTAGTCACTTCACTGCATTGTTGTGCTTTATTTAGATTTATGTCAATAGCGCAGTGCTCTGCTGCTTCCCCACCCCCCCTTCAGGAAACCATCCAACGCGTCTGCCGCCTGGCCCGCACCATCATGTCCCCCCACGACGTGGGGCACGCCACCCTGGTGGCCGAGGGCAACCCGGGCCTCAGCAACCTCTTCGCCCGGCTGGCCGCCCACCTGTGCGGCTTCAGCGTCTTCGAGGTCAACCCCTCTCCCATGTCGGCCTCCACAGAATACAAGCTGGACCAGTTCAAGGCCGACCTGGTGGCGGCCTACACCAAGGCAGGAGTCAAGGTACGGTGGGTATTCTGCCCGATAGCCAGGCCGGGTTTCAAGTAAGGTCTCTCACGAACCCTGAAACGCAAGGCTCTGTTGTAGTCATCAAGGACCTGTCTAATTAATGGTATCATTCTTCTGTAGCCGTTGGCCGTCCCATAACAATTTGTGGTTGATGTCTTGACCCCCCCGCCTTGTCCACCTGTAAGTTGTAAAGTAGTTGACCAAACGGTATTTGTTATGATACGTGATCATTCTGCCAGTGGTGCTTACTACAAGTTGCTGGGCATAGGCACTTTCATTCCTGCATGCAGTCCACGGACAAACTTTATATCCAGGTATACCTATTTCCAAGGATGGATTTGCGCCAGGGAGATGTTGATTAACTTTATATTTTTGCCCCGCCCGAAGTGTATTTTAACACTATGTACTCAGTGTGTGCCTCCGAAGGCTTGTGAACAAAACCACAAGCATACTCAGGTGAGACTCCAACCCGTTGCTACATCCGACTCGAACCGGCCAGCCGACACCGGCAAGCTTGGTGGTTGAGTGGTTAAGACATCCACGCTAGTAAGCAGAAGGTTGTGGGTTCAAGTCCCACCCAAGTATGCTTGTAGTTTTTTTTTCGCAAGCCTCCGGGGGCAAACACTGAGTATACAGTGTTTTAATACACGTCGGGCAGGGCCAAAAATCCCAAATCGAGTATTTCACCTACTTCTGTTCAAATTCTCTAAAGGGGAAGTGAACACTGTGTCTCCGTTATTTTCTTTATGCGTTTCTTTTCAACAGTAAAAAAACAATTAATGTCCTCGTTAACTTTTGAAATTACATTTAACTTTAATAGCCAGATGCAGCATGATTCAGTTCACAGCGTCCTTCAACTAGAAAGTTTCATCTGTTTAAAAGTTTAATGTGTTACCTGCTGACTTTTGAACCTATGTAAAACTCACTTCTCTGACTTCTTTACAATCTATTTGAAACTGTCATTTGTTCCAAACTTTGCCCTTTTAAGGGAGAAAAGATCCTTCTCCTTTTGACCGATGAGGAGTTACTGAACGAGGATTTCCTGGTCTACGTCGGCGAGTTTGTGGTGACAGGTGCTATCACCCACCTCTTCACCGCTGAGGAGCAGACCTCCATCATCAACTCCATCCGCACCGAGGTGACGGCAGCCGGCCTGACCTACACCAGGGAGACGGCCTGGGAGTTCTTCCTCAAGTGAGTTTGGGCTGACGCTCCAAAGCGCTTCGTGCCGGAGGGCGTGCAAACACAATGCGGTTGTCTGTAAACACGGGCTGACGGCTTAAAAACATCGACCGTGCCCTGATTCTTACACATATACAGAGCCTGTGGAGGCAAATTGTGTGTGTCGAAATTGAATTTTGCCACTTTGTCGCTTATGCACAGCATAGTGGGGTTGCAAATCTTGCTCACTGGATGCCCCAGATTGTTGGAAAATACTTTTTGAGTGTTTCGGTGTAAAGCAGTACCAAGCAGGTGAGAGTAATTAACTAATAGCATTTTGTAGGATAATTAACCAGTAATGTTTAAACAGTTACACTTTTAAAAGTGTCAACAAAGTCCTTTTTGTTCTGCATTAGTTGTTATATTTTCCTTGAACAGGGCTGTCAGTGGCAATTTCCGAGTGGTCCTGGTGTCTTCCTCGAGCGGGGCGGCCTTCCAAGACCGCTGCAGACAGTACCCAGCACTGACCGCGCATCTGAGCTGCTGCTGGTATCAACACTGGTCCAGGGAGAGG